ATACCGGAGCCTGAAGCTCACACCTTGTGCCGACAGACACCTCCTTTCTGCTTACTCTCCGCTCTCAATCTCTTTGTATCACACTCGAGGGTGTACTGAGAATGTATAAATCCCAAATGGCTTCAGAAAGTGACCTTTTGCCACACACAACAAAGTTATCTCAATTTTGATTTTTATTACATGGACAGAGAGGTTGATGTCAGGGGGGTGGGGGGGAGATGGCTGAAGATTCACACCAAAAATCTACAGTGGTTACTTTCTTCCAGGTTATTCCTCACATTTAAAATCCTTGGTGGCCAGTCAAAGTCCTTCCATGGTGGAATCAAAGTGAGAAGTTGCTGAAATAAAAAAAGAAGAGATTCTGCTGAAATACCACAACAGCACAGACTGTAGAAAGGCTTTAATGGTTGCAAATCCAACCCTCAGACTGAGAAGAGTTCACCTGTCTGATATTTTTTAAAGTCTCTTTCTTTCTCATACTTAGCTGTTGGCTATTTTTTTAAAAAGTTAAAGGGAATGGAGAAGCAGCAGATGACGGAAAGCAAAGGAAAAATAAAAAATGCAAAGAGAATGAAAAAGGAAGAGAAGAAAACTTGGTTGTCAAAACTAGAGACAGTAAGGACCTAGCAATCTCAAGGCTGAAAAACAAGAGTAACACAGTGGAATTTTTTTTTCCTCTACACATCACAAACACTATATAATGAACAGCTGTTCAACCAATACTACTATAGCACAGCCACATCTCATAATTGTTTTGTTAGCTTTCAAGTTTTGTCCCGTTACATTCACTCAGGACCTCACAGGCATCCAAGTTACGGAGTTCACGTGAGGCATCAGCACAACCTCACGGTTATTCTTTTCTGAGAGCTCCAGAAACACTGTTCGGGGCAGCTCTTATTCCCCATGGTAATTACATTATCTCCTTAAGTAAATTTTACGCCAGATTTTTCTGGTAACCACTGTAAAAGGCAGGTGAGGTTTTCTGGTCATAATTCTGTGCACTTTTTCATGCTTCATTTTGTTTAAAATTAGTGGTTAAATGTCAAAGGGGGGAGAAAATATTTTTGTTATCATTGTATCAAAGTAGCAACTGGAAGAGGTTTGGCAATGGGATGATACTTTCTGTGGCAATACGGAGGACTACTTTAGTCTGCTTTGTGTCTTTTAGATTATTTTTTTCATGCTAGCCGAGAGACGCTCCTGCCTGTCCCAGCTATATGTTCCATCTCCTTTGCCCATGTCCTGCTGATCGCATGACAATTTGTTTCAGCTTGATGGTCCAGACTGAAAACTTTTTGGATGTCTTCATGCATTGGATGATCGAGGTGAACTGCCTCACTCCCTGGCTGTGGAAGCATCACGTCCAGCAGAGGGAAGTGATGTCAATAGCACAGCCAGGGAAAGGAGGAGCGATAACACACGTCACCAAGAGATTTGGCTCATCAAAACCACGACCCTACTGGGCTGTTGCGGAGGAAGTCTTCCTGCAGGGAGTTACTGACCGCTACACTTCAACAAGAAACGTGCCAGCTTTTATTTTGCAGTAGTCCTGCAGATAAATGCTTAAACTGACATCGGTTTTTGTCTTCTTGTTCTACATTTGTACACCATCTCGCACTCATGAGTCCTGCTCTAAGGAGAACTTCTAGGCACCAAAATAATGCTGTTTTCACTGATCTCAGCATTTTTAAAACTGGGATCTCTTGCTTAATCTCCAGAACAGCTGCCAATGCTGCAATGAGGAGCTCTCACAACAACTTGAGATTAACCCTCTGTTTTCACAGGGGAACACCACCGCTGTTCACTCTCCCGTTTGGATAGAACCACCCTTACACAGCAGGAGTACGGAAGCGTGATCATCTGGCTAACAGGTTAAGTTGCACTTGGCCAGTAATTCTTAGTTGACTTTCTAATCTGAAGGGGCTGAAATGATCATATTGGCTCTCCATTTCATTTCTATGATTTTAAAATCTTTCAGTAGGAATGCTTCAGTTTTCTTTTTTTTTTATGACATTTGATGAAATTAAATCCATTTCAACATTTATAGTTGTTCACTTGAGCAGTGAGTCAACTGAAAACCCTGAGATGCTTTTTGCTTTTCACACACCTTTTTTTTTTTTAACCTTTTTTTTTTTTAACTTCTTAACATTTGCATAAGCTTAAAAGCAGCCTTTCACCTGAAGGTATGGTTGCACGACATGTGGTCCCGGGTACCAGAGCTGACTGCCACCCACGCAGGAAGCCCCGCACGTCCTCCCCCTCGTGCCTGCAGCAGCTCAGCCCCGTCTGCTCCCTGGCCCCAGCTTGGGCACTGAGCTGGGCCTTACACGAGCTTATCTAAATTCACCAGCCCAACAGAAAACTATCCATTTGTCTCCTGTGGGGTTAGTGAGTTAAATTATAGCCTTCATGTCAGCCAGCGAGTGCCAGAGCTGGTAACTCAAGAGGGCTGGGAGGGAGGGGACTTCCCGCTTTCGGCAGCGGTGAGCCATCGCGCCAGCTTGGCCCAAGGCAGCAAACCACAACTCCAGGCCTAAACCCATCTGACCTCTGGTGTCTCTTCCTCTCCCTCCAACAGCCATCAGGACTTTCCCTGACTCATTTCAGATGCTGAACTAAAAGAACCAAACCAAAACAAAAACCCCACAAAACCCTCCGACTAACTTCCCTCCTCCTCCCAATGCAAAGCCCTAACCAGCTTCCCGTTCCCAAGTCAAAGGCTTTGCTGAGCAAGGAGGATGGGACTGTACGGCCAGGACCAGGACCGTTACACAGGCATCATCTGCCAGCAGGGACCTCCAACTTAACCATGCCACCTCAGCCCAGATCTTCATGACCCAGGCCGCCTGTGCACAGCGTGCAATGGCTTTTTTTTTTTTTTTCTTTAAACCCAATAGTGACTAGGAGTCTTCTTTCGCAGCAAAGTACGCATTGCTTTAATTCTGTATTCCTTAGAACTAACATAAGCTAGTGCAGTAGAGTATTAGACTGCAACATCACGTAATAAACTGGGGTTTAAGGATGTTTTGTTTCAGACCAGCAGTCAGCGGCTGGCTCACAAGCGCACAGGGCTGCGGATCACTTCTGCCATGCTCGTGATAAGCAGGAGAGGAAGACTGAAACAATTTTGGGAATTGCATGGCAGACAGACAAAGGGGGTAAATCTAATGGGAAAAAACAGTTTGTTGGGTTCAGCAAGCAGATAAAGGTATGGACAATACGGCAGGATACTCCGCTAGCGTATATCTTTCTTTTCTTGAAGGATACAAAGAAAAAAAATAAAAATCAATTTCCAGCCTAATCACAATTTTTGTCAGGGAAGAGAACGGAGCTCTCCAAGTTTGTTTCTTTAGCATAAAAACATTTTAATCAATAAACCCAGACATTTCTGGGTAGCAGCTTAGGTTACAAATCTACACTGCCAGTCAGTATCATAAGCAAAAATCTTGCCTGTGAAGTATTCACATTTGCAATATTATAAACGAATAACTTAGAAAAATTAGTAGCTGACATAGGGCTCAGTATTTGGTGAAAATATTTTTTTTTATTCGCTTACCAAATATTTTAGTATTTGATTATGTAAGAGGACAATACTGCTACCAGACATTCTTGATGTCATTAATAATCTGTGCTGACAGCACCTTGCGAGATCAGTGCTGTCCGTACTACGTGGTTCGGAGAGATTCCCCTCGTCTTCCTACCGCGGTAGTTGGTACAGGCTAATCAGCAAATGATCTGCAATGGCATTTCTCTCATCAATGATATAAAAATGCATATAACCAAATCAGCCCTCTTTCAAGAGGTTTCAATTCGAACCCAAACTATTCAGCTATTTTACTTCTGTCATGAACTTCCACTGTGAAACTTAAGAAACCTTCTAAAACGTCAACTTCTGCTTTTGTAACTGTCCCAGCACAGCGCACGTCCGCCTCTTTGACTCCCCCTCCAGCCATCGACTCATGCCCAGGCCAGGCAGGGGACGTGGGGCCACACAGACCCCACGTGGATGATATTCCAGCAGTCCTGTGACATCTGGATGGGAATAATTTAAGCCTCAGGACGTGGAATTTTTTTTCTGGCTCCATTTGCCCACGGTGCAAGTTATTCTCTTTCCATGTACCTCAGTTTACTTGTTTTAAAACTACAGATTAATCCATTTTCCACTTTGGAAAGAACAACTGATGGCAAGTGATACAGAAGTTAAACTAGTATTTTCCAGCTGGATCCAATAGTCCTTCCTTCTTATCACCATCTACCTAGAATAGGTCTCATAAACAAACTGCGGAAACTTTGCCAAGCTACCAAAGGGTTCAAAAATTCACAAGACAAGAATGAACACGATAGCATACTTTCTAATATGCGCAGTAGCGCACTTTGTCATACCAAATGAAAACATTAACGAAAAATTAACACTTCAGTACATGGAGTCCTATTGCGACCTCCTGCTGCTGAGTCTCCACTGAAAAGCAGAACTGTCGCTTTTTCATAACTTGGTGAAATACTGTTTTATTATTCATACAGTGCTCTTCATAATTAGACCCTTAACAGAGTCGGCATTGCTCTCCGTGCTGAAGAGACAAGGAAAGCACGACTGAGACAACACTACTCACAACAGATTGCCACAGTAATCAAACTGGGAATAAAGTCCAGCTCTTAGGCATCCTAGACAACCGCTTTCAATTCACCAGGCAGGTTTTAGATTTCTGAGAAAAAAAATTTCACATAGCTTTAATAACAAAATGCTGCCTTCTCTTTTCCCCATTCAGGCTTTAAAAAAAAAAACAACCCCAAACCAAACCAACCCTCAACGCTAACTTGAAGAAAAAAAAAATCAAGTAAGTTGGGTGATACTAAATGTAAGTTGGGCGATACTAAACGCACCTTAAAAATGGTAACAGACAATGTTCTTTAGATATTTGGGCAAATATAATACATGAATGAAACACGTTCCAAAGTGTGACTGATTACCTTTTCCTTCATGCAGAATTTAAGATGGTCAGTCATGACTGATGAAACACAGCATCCAGAGAGCCAGTGCTAGTGTAGGTCACGATGTTCTCCTCTATCACCCCTTGAAACAGCTCCACTTCTGGAAGTGTTTCAGAAGAGTCTTGATTCTCTTCGCGATTTTTATTTAGATCTTCAAGACTAATAGTAGCATCTAAGAAAATAAGCAAATTACAAACTGCAGCCAAAAGACACCTGAAATTATCTCATGTAGTCTGTCATTTATATTATGTCAGGATAGAGTATGTCTAGAACAAGCTTTTATTTCATCAGAATACTCTTGATTTTGCCTCCTAAATGGCCTACAAAATAAGGTAAATCTTTCAGGTTTGTCTCTGACAAGGAGGGAGGGTGAGTGTGTGTGTATTCCTACTCTTAGGCTTCCTCTCAGCTCTCCAAGAGCGTCCTTTTCTCTTTTTTAAAATAGAGAAACTCCTCTCCTATTTCAGATAGCAAATCCTATCAGCTTCCAGGGAGCTATTATTATTTTTAATCTCATATTATGGAACTTGTGAAATTATACGATACTAAAATGGAAATCATGGAAAAAGACAACGAGCAACCTTATCCCATAACCTCCACACTGCAGGAATTAATACAGGCAGAAGTCCAGAGCTTCCCATGGACCCTGATATCTCTTGCTGCTCAAGTGTGTGACATATCATGCTGGCAATTTTTACTGATCATTAAGTTTAATTAAATTGAAGATGCTCAGCCTTTCAGAGAAATAAAATCTAAAGAAAGACTTCTTCATGCTCAACGTCCTTCTGATCTGGAATGTGTAAACTTGAGCTAAGTATTGGATTAATTCCATATGGGAAACTTTAAAAGGCAAGGAATTTCAGCACTTGCATCAGGAATCGTCAAGTGATGATTCACAGCAACCGTAGCTCTGTCCTGCTACACAAACAATAATCGGAGGCACAAATTCATTTACCACTTCCTAGTGCTTTTGCACAAGGAGGAGCGCTATCACTCATTTGTGCTGAAAACCTTCGACACGCTTCAGCATTAACTGTTTTCTCTTCTGAACAACAAGTATTTTATACAGTTTTTGTATCACAGAATACACTCTTACCAGCCAAGGCATTTCCATTCTGCAATCCATTTGTTTTCTGTTTTTCCTAAACAACAGTCCAGAGAAAAGAAGAAAGTATGTGACAAGAGATGTTGTTATTTTGGGAAAGAACAAGGGCCATGCTCTATTTTATAATTACCATTTCATTGTATTTACAGGATTTTCCTCATTTCCACTACCAGACACTACAGTGCTCCTTAAGTAAAAACAAACCTTCACAAAGCAACAGCCACAGTGAGAAAAAAGGTAATTTGCAAGTTCACGCTTTCTAACTGGACAAGGAGAATTAATTTGCCGTCAGTCACTCACGACGACTTCTCTGCTACAACTCTTTGTAGACGTAGCCATGAAGAAGCTACAGGTAGTGGAGGATGAAATTTGCTGAGATGATGGGAGAAAACCATAAGAAGGAAAACAACTGGATGATGGTAGGTTGTACTTAATGAACATAGGCCAGGTCAGGACAAAAGTATCAAGGAAAAGCTTCTTTTTTTTTTTTTTCCCCTCCTTCAACTACTTTGTATACATTTCTGAAGCTGGTCTTTCAAAACCTGAATCCTACCATGGCCTCGAGCTGGTTCTGGAAATATTCAAAAGAATACACAAACCATCCATGCCCTCATTGTTGGTATTAAAAAACAAAGCAAATTTACTAGTAAAGAACATCATCTTGCTTATGAACTGAAAAATTCCTCTTTAAACCTGGAATATTGGAAAGCTTTCCAAAATCCCCTAAAATTCGTACCTCCACAGAGGTCTTCCACAGTAAATAGATCATCTTTGAAACTTTCCAGTCAAGAGGAACTATATAATCATCTGGCAACAAGGATTCTGCAGAAGAAAATATTTTTTGCAGTTGAGTGTTCAGATCTCTCCATAGCCAAAATATATCACTGAATTACAATTTTTGCATACATTATATATAAAGACTTAAAAAAAAAAGAGCAGATATTTAAATGAGCCAGCAGCAAAGTCAGAATTTAGGTTTTCTAGAATCTAAGGTCAGGGCACAGGAGGGGGAGGAGGGGGAAGGAGATTTGGTTTTGGTTTCTTTTTTTAGGCAAAGGATTTCCTACCGTACTTTCATTCCTCCTACATACTCCCCCAAAACTAGGCGTAAACAAGAAAAACAGAAAGCTCTCAGCCCACAAATTAAACAAAATGCAACTTAATTAACAACCGTTACATTTTAAAATGCTTAATTGTAGGAATTTGCGCAATATCACTAAAGAAGTTACTTTCTAAAATGTTTTAACTCTAACACTGTTTAAGAAGCTGAAAAGAGATTCTTTGTAGGAAAAGTGTCTAAAATATATTCTATGCTTATATGAGAATCATACGAGCAAGTCAGTCAACCAAATCTTCCATTTATAAATAACCAAAGACATTTCTTTACAAAAAATTTCCCAAAATAATTTCAATAAAAATTGACTGCAATTGCCAGCATTGTAAAGTACTACAGCTCAAATTTGTACATGAATAAAGAGTAGCCTATCAATATATAATAGGTCACAAAAAAGCACAAGAATGTTTGAAATTGTAGGAGAATTATAGTGAAATGAGAACGTGGCCAGCCTTCTGCAGACAGTACGCACAATTTTGATGGAAAAAACGCCAACAAACAGCAATCACAAGCCGGCATGACTTCAGAGAGATATCTGGGTGACTTTATCTTTCTTAAAGGTTATTTCTCAAGGCAACTCATCTAAATCCCAGAGAATTTCACTTGTTACTGACTCGGAGAAGAACGACATTTAGTTCACTAACATATCGAGTGTTTCTGAATGCCTGGGGTTTTTTTGTTTTGATTTGTTTTTTTCTGGAGGATCCCTGTTCTCAAATCAATGATGAAATTTAAGATCACAGATATGAAGACTCCCCAAGTTTGGAGGAGAAAAAGGTTTTATATGTAACAGCTGAGGACATCAGCAGTACTTCTCTGCCCTGTTTCAGCTCTGTATGGCAGGTTCTTTGGTGCGCGGTGCCAGAGTTAGATAAAGCAGCCCTGCCGGTCCTTTGGGGACCAAGTCGAGTAATGCTGCCGGTGGTTTGCATCACTGCTCTGGCAAGCAGCATTGCCATCGACTTTTACAGTAAAAACAAAGAATCCTGAGGTCAGTTTGGGCAGATAAACAGACATAAGCCGCTCCTCAGTCGTCATCTGAAAATTCTCATGTGAAAATACATGCTTAACTTGAAATGCTACTGAAACAAACAGGTGTAAAGGTCTATGTGCCGAAAAAACGGTCTGTGGTTTTTTCATCCTCTTTGTCGGCCAAATCAAAGTTACCGTTTCTCCACTGGCTAAATTTGGACCAAAGAAGTTGCAGAACTTCATGCACAGGGAACGTGGCTCTTTCAGCGGGCGCGTACACAGCACCACGTCCTAGGGTGATTTCCAAACAAATGTCTGTTGTTGTCGTCGCTGGCTACAGCTCTGTAGGGTTACGTTAGCCTGCAGTAAATTTGGAAATCACGGTTGCCACACACAACTCCTTTGAGGACTGATGGCCATACCACTGACTGCTAACTTAAAATGATTAAATGGAAAGTACAAAAACGTGACAACTGGAGCCCTGGAAGGCAAGTGTACAACACTGTGACACTTCTTAATCATGCATGATTAAAAAGAAGGTATTCACTATCAGAAAATGCATCTTGTAAGTTTGATACTTAATTTCAAATTAAATTATATTTTTGGAAGGAGTTTCAACAGTATCTAAGCCACATAAGAGTGTATGAAAACTTCACTAAATAAAGAAAAAGGAATGCTACTATATTAACCAGATGGAATATAAAAACAAACACGCAATCTTTATATAAGAGCACACATTTTGTACCATGTTTTCATTTAGTTTTGTAATCAACACAGTAAAGTCTTACTCAGCAGGATGTACTAAAACATCAACAAGAGCTTCATGCTTTGGATTTAAAGTTAGTAACTTTTTGTTACTAAAAGACTGCAAACATGAGGCCAAACCAAACAGCACCTCTGACACAGACTGAAGATTTTAGGTAAAAAATAAAACAAAATAATCCCCAAAGCAGCAGTGATTCCTTTTAATAGGATTAATATTTGATTAATTAGTACCTGCAATAAAACTTATTATTTAGTCATAGGGTTTTTTGTTTTGGGGGAGTGTTTTGGGTTTTTTGTTTGTTTGTGGTTTTGTGGGGGTTGTGGG